TCTATATTACCTATAAAATTGTTTTGCTTTAATTTAGCTTAAAATGTTTGCTCTTTAGAAATAGCCTATTTAAAGAAATAAGCCCTCTAGTAATGCATAAGATACTATTATCTCTAATTGTAGAGCACAGAAATGAGGGACACTTACGGGAGGGTAAAAAAAACAGGTTGAACTGTATAAAAAGTGGGTACATCCACTGACCTATTTTGCTCAGTGAGGGAAGAAACTCACTAAATGGCTACAAGGAGATAACATTTTTGTGCACCTACTCTATACCAGGAAACGTTAGGCTATGTACCTATGGTAATGTGATGTGGTAAACAGTGGCATAAGTGCCAAGATACAATGTTTATTTTAGATTTAAAATATTTGATTTGGAAAATTAAGAATGCAAATAACTTCCACAAAGAAGGAACTAAAAAGTATTTTTTTGAATAAAGGTCACTGCATAAAAATGAAAAGCAAATCATCAATACCATGTTTTTTTTAATCTTCTAATTAATTTTTTTCTGCTTTACTATGCTTATGGGATCAGCTGCAGAGACTGGGATGTCATAACAGAAAAACACTCTAGGCGTACATATATTCTGGGAATCCCAGCACTGGTAATACAGTGAACTTTAAATGTATCTAAGAATCAGATTCAAAACACAGTGTTACAGCAATAATAAAGTATGGTCAAACTATTGGAAACACTTCACCAGTCAGGTACCCGACTTTATGTACAAAATGCCACAGATGAGTTTATCTATTTAATTAATTATTAGTAAATGTTTCTCTGTGGCCCTTTAAGGCCTTCAGTTAATTCCCCAATTTCCTTCAAGAGAATGTCTATGAAACCCTTTCCACACAGCTTCCCGTGGATTATAATAATGTATTTCTCTTCTTACCCAGCAGTGTGAACTAAACTTTAAAGCCACTCACCATTATGCAGTGATTACTTCATTATTTACTTCAATTAGTAAGCTGAATTTCCTCCACTACTAGAAAAAAAAGTGTAGAGTGAATTCCCTTAGATTAAATGTGTCCATGACGTCATTTCACTGAAGGATTATTAACCGTACAAGTTATAGAAGGGCAGATTAGCATCTAATATAGCAAAGAATTAGGATTGGATTTGTCCTGATATAGAACTGGCAATCTTCCAAAACTCAGTGCATCTCATCATTTAGTGTCCAAGCACAAGTTAGATGGAGATACTATGTAATTGGGTTATTGTTTAAATAAGGAGGAAGCTACACTCATAGCAAGGCCAGGCTAGAGTATTTAGAAGCTTATGGATCATTTTTAAGATTTACAATGGAAAACTATGGAGAAGAAAATAAATTGAAGACACTCATACAACAAATATTTCAAGTATTTCTTGGTTACAATGTGCCAAGCACTGCCCTAAGTACTAAATATGAACTAAATAATATTTCACATATCAATAGATGTGAAATAGCGCTTGCCCTAAATACTAAGTGATTCATCCTCTAAAGGGGAAGAAAAATAAGCAAACCAATAATTGCAAGTGCTGATGGTTTTTCACTAAAGCCAAAATGATATTCATAGATTGTTCAATCAAGAGATTTTTCTTGTTCATATAACCTAACATTTCTAACAAATAAGTTAAGAAATGAAAGGGTCCCTCCCTGTTCAACTGTTCTATGAATAGGATTTTCTTTTCTCTGAAAGGGCAAATTCCTATCAGAAATTATTTCAGGGTTTTCCTCTAAAAAGTCAGCACAGAAAACAACTTTGAATTTTACTCTCATGTCTTAACAAAACTACTTTGAAAGGTAGATAAGTCATCAGGCCCTAGCCCTGAGGTAATAAATGACTTCAATGGCAGTGGAAAATTATTTCAGAATTGTTGACAGAGGTTTGTTTTAAATATATACACGGTAAAGCTTGAACTAAATGTGCAAATATCCCATCTCTGTAGAGAAGATAAAAAATTTTCTTTCTGGTCAAAGAATCCTTAGAATAAAAACCTTTCTTTGAGAGTTTTAAAGGGTTTTATAGTTTCCAAAAGAGGCTCACAAATAGAAATTCTACTTTACATACTACTTTGAATACAACTTTGATTTCTACTCTACTGAGTTATGAGGTCCAATGCTCAAAAGCTAGGAGGAGCTAAAATAAAGCCATCAGTAATGGTATAGAGTTATATGCTCAAAGGATAAGATACAATCTGTCAATTACTGTATGATATCCTTAAAACAGAAGAACAAATGTCACTTTTAACAGAAGATCTGCTTCAGTTTTTTCAGTTGAACTGCTTTCAATTTCAAGAACCCCCTGAAGCCCATACACAGCATTAGAACCCTTTCATATAAAGTGACAAGTGCCAGGAGAGAGAGAGGTATAGATTAGAGGGTGATGACAAGAATACAAATATATATAATTTGAAAAGATAAATTCCATAGAGAATACTTTAAAGGTCTTCGAAGTTTCAAAAGAGGAAAAGGTTACAACTGTTTGAAAGGATTAGAAAAAAGGCTTCATGAAGGAGGTAGAGAAAAAGTGAAAAGTGGACAAGCCTCAAGAGGGTGCTATGTGACACAGATAATTAATAGCACAGGTAAAGGTCAGAGACTTGTAGGTTATGTTTAAGAGCCTTGGAGGTAAGGCTGGAAAATGGGGCTATACTGTGGGAGGCTGTACTGCAGGAAGATCTAGTAATTAATATAGTTAGCACTAAGAAACCCCATAAAAGTTTCAGAGTACGCAAGTATTATGACCACAGGACACCTGAAAAAATAAATTTGGCAAAAGCCTATGACTGTACGGTACTTCTAGTTTTAGTTATTCTCTTTTAATCCCTGTCTTTTAATCCTACTTGTAGTTTCTCATTCTCAGTTTATTCATCTGTGCAAGAAATTCTAAATTACCCACTGTTTAAAAACATTGTCAGCAAAACTTAGTAAAAACAGCGAATTTCATAAACATACTCTCTATACTATTATTTAAGTCATTACTAATGTTCGCGTGAAGAAAATTCTATGGAACTTGACTTCATACATTCTTACCTCTCATCCTGATAATAAATTATATAAATTAATCTTTGAGAACAGTCCTTTAAATGAGTTTTAAACCTCATTATAAACCTCTCGACACTGTAATGCACCCAGTTCAACTTCTTCTATCTGCATTTACTCTTGTGGTGACTTCATGCAGTTTTGTAGCTTTAAATACCATCTATATGTTAACAACTTCCCAATTTCTATTTCTAGCCCAGGCTTATCCCAACTCCCAACTGTATGTTATCTACCTGCCTGCTTGGCATCTTTATTTGTTCCACGTCGAAAAGACATCCAAATTCAATATATCAAAACCAGGGGCCAGCCGAGTGGCGCGATGGTTAAGCACTGGCTTGGGACGCCAGAGGGCCCCGGTTCGGATCCCACATGTGAGGGCCAGTGACACTGCCCTCTACAGCTAAGATGCTGAACAACAGCTCAACCTGGAGCTGGGCTGCCGTGAGTCGCCGGCGACGGCACAGGCTGCAACCCCTGCTGCAGTGGGTTGCCATGGGCTACCGTATGTAGCCAGCAGCCAGCGTGAGCGGCCAGCAGCCGCCGTGAGCGGCCATCCAGAAGCCGGTGACTGATCTGCCTCGCCCGGGAAGAGCGCAATGATGGTGCCAACTTGGGCCAGTGAAGCAACGTCCTCCACAACTAGACTGAAGAATAAAACAACAGCAACTTGTCTGTTCCCCTTCCCCAATTCCCCAGCGCTGTTCCCATCCCCCCAATTCCCCAATAAAAAATCTTAAAAAAATATATATATATCAAAACCAGAACTTGTAACTGTTGCCCCAAAACCGACTGCTCCTCTTTTTTCCACCTCTCAAATAATGGCCACTCGAGTCTTCCAGCTGCTCTGGCTGAAAACGGTAGAGTCCACTTTGCTTCCCTCTGGCCTAGACTCCCCTCCCATCTAAGCCAACATAAAAACCCTGTCAGCTCTCCTTTCAACACAAATACAGAAAACATTTATGCATATGCAAAATCTAATCATTTCTAACAATCTTCTCGGATCCTATCTTGGTCAATGCCACTATCATTTCTAGGGTGTATCATTGCAGAAGCTTAACTAGACTCTAGTGTCTGCACTTATTCTCCTTTGATCTATTCTTAACAAAGAAGCCAAGTTGATCTTGCCAAAGTACATTTTCTGTTCAAAACCCTTTGAAGCTTTCACATCACCTAATATAAAAGCCCACTTCCTTTTTATGACTTTCAAGTTTAACATGACCTGGCTTCCCACAGTCTCTCGAGCCTGGACCGCCTACTTCCCTCTCTCATTCATTCCACTCCAGCAACACTGGTCTCCTTGCTGTTCTTCCCGCACATCAGACATGTCCCCATCTTTGGACCTTTAAAAATTCTGTTTGTTATGCCTGAAGTGCTCTTCACTCAGATACACAGGGATTCACTGCTTCACTTAAGTCTCTGCATCAATGTCATTTAGCCTGTGTACCCTAAACCACCAGCACACCTGCCACTCAAGATCCCCACTACCTGGCCATAGGATGTGTAACTTTCTAATATACTGTATAATTCACTATTTTTATTGTTGATTGTCTCTCCCTCCCTACCCAACTCCATGCAGGTAGGTGTTTTTATCCATTTTGTTCGCTAATAGTTACACAAATAAATCATGGAACAAAATAATTTGTTTTATATAAAATGGACACCAAACTCAAGTCACTCATTCTGTAGGAGGAGAATTTAAAAACCAATGTGACTTGTACAAGGTCAAACAGTCAGTAAATGACAAGGTCCAGAATAAAAACAGGTGTCCTTGGCCTAGACTTTTTTCTCTATCAGGACACACTGGCGGAACATAAGAAAACACATATGAAAATAACTTTTAAAAACAAGCAAACAAGCATACACACACAAACACACCAACACAGTTATAGACACATTTTATATTAAAATATTACCACAGCCGAGTAGTAGTATTACACAAGGTAATTATATACCTACAAACAAACATTTATTACTTACCTGAACCCCAGATTTTTTTGATGATATCTGTGTTATAGTTTCTTTGACTTTATTTGCCTTTTCAAGTCGGGCTTTAAGTCGTTCAGCTAACTCCTTCAAACAGAAAAATGAGAAATAGGTGTGATATATATCGTTTAACTCCTCACTGTAGAATATTTCAAATTTACACAACAGAAAGGAAAATAAAATAGTGAACACCCATGTAGCCATCACCTAAATTTAGTCACCAATTCACAGCCTAGTATATCACTTTTTAATGAACTTATATCAGTTACAAACTTCTCAAATACCTGTAGCATTTTTTTATGCTTTGAAAGTAAATAATTACAAGGACATATATTTTAGGGGAGATTGGAAGGTGGAGGAAATACATAGCCTTAAGAATGACATTTTTATAGTTCCTTAGATATTATAAACTTCCAGTCCTCAAAATTTCAGTTATTTTTAAGAAGGGAGATATCACAAGACTTAAAATATTACCTTCTTTATTGCTAAGTGATTTAGATAAAAATTCTGAATGTATTTCATTTCACTTTAGGAAGCCTATAGGAACTTATTTAAACAACTAATATACAAAACAATAAATCACAAAGAAATTAAATAAATAGATTTATATGATAAGCAAAAAACAGCATTCTCCACTGCAGTGGTTCCATAAACATAAGAACACTTCTTTTAAGATAAGTTAACATCCTAACTTGGTGATCTCTCTTTCACGTGCTTCTTTTGTTCTTTCAAAACTCAAACTTTATTTTCTGCTATTGTTATTGTTGTTGGCTTATCTTTCTTACCAATTTCTGGGCTAAAGTTCTGAGTTGAAGTTCAGGTCTCCAAGGACCAGATTCAAAGAGGGAGAACAGCATATGCAAGATATGCCTTTTATTATACATGCAGACTAATAACAACAAAAGTATCTTGTTTAGCCACCTTTTGTTCTACTGAAGAGTTTTGCACTGATAGCATACCAAAACAGAAGACTACTTATGATGACTTATATTTGAATTTGAGATGAGTACATACATATGACCATGAAGGAATCTATTCTGTCAAGGCATGAAAAGCTATCTGACTGCCATTCTGTCATGTGCAATGTAACATATATTAGTATAATAAGAATGTGACGATAGATAGACCAGATAGATAGATAGATAGATAGATAGATAGACAGATAGATAAAAAGATGATAGATGCATTTCTTACCAAATCATCCCTATTTCTATTCAATTCTGAGGTAAACCATTCTTAAATCACAACATTATTATAAAAATTAAATGAGCTAACCTATATAAAGCATATAACACATTATCAAGACAAACACATTGACTTAAAAATTGAGTAAATGAATTAACCATCCTTTCTAGGAGCTCAATTTTTAGGTTCCTATGTAAGAGAATTTAAGAAAGTAACATATGTTCTCAATAATATATGACTAAAAAAAGGAAAAGAAGACAGAGATGTCTTTATCTCCTTCAAATATGTTCAATAAGTTAGAAATGCAAGAATAAAACAAACAGCAAAGTAAAAAAGAAATTTAAAAGTATTTAGTTCCCTAGGATCTTAAATTTCAAAAATTTGACAAAGTAGATAATTTAGACATACAGTATTGTTTTTAGAAGTGCTCAAGAATTTCTTTAAAGAATCAATAAGCAGCAGTTATTTTCAAAGTATGCTATATCCACATTGCTAAGAAATTTCCAAAATTACTCTTCAGAAGTTAAATACTTAATTACTGTTCCCCAAAAGAACAACATATAAGTCTTACCATATTTCCCATCATCTCTGCCTTGATAATCTTGGCTCCCAACTTGTTCTTCTCATCAACACTCAAGATGTGGATGGATTCATCCTCTGGGCTACTTCTGTTTGAACAGGTCAGATTAAAAGCAGATGAAATATAGGTATAATGCGAGTAACATCAAGACTCAAATGTTACTTTAATTGACCTCAACAAAGCATCAGCACCAACAGATCATGGTTCTAATATATACAAAACCTCAATGTTCCATCATAAATTTTTAAAGTACTCTATTATAATGCCAGGACGGTCTATGGTAGCTATAATAACTGACTAAAAAGTCCCAGTAACGAGGTAAATAATATAAATCAACTATTCTTCATTATTTAATATTCCCATACTCATTCTAGAATGGAAACCAACAAAAACACTAAAATCAGGACATAATTCTACACATCTGGGGAAACTCTTCTCATCCAATGTGATGTTACTGATAATGTAAGAAACTGTGACCAGGAAATGACATTTAATTGCATTCAAAGAATAAAGGCAATGATCAGGTGCTCTTTTGCAAAGTCAATCAAGAATTAGACCACAGGAACTAATTTATGACTAAGATTATGTACCAAACCTATACTATGGAAGCTTCACAGAAGAAAAATTTCCAGCCAGGGTCAGATTCCTGGCACATACAAAGTTGCCCAGCATACAGCCTTAGAGAGATTCAAGACTACAATACACAGAGGATAAGCCCAGGCAGAGCCTGACTCCTCAAGAAGGAGAAATCACTATGAGTCCAAAAACTCCAACGCAGAAAGAGGAGAGAGCTGCAGAGCAAAAAAATTCTACAGAACTGCAGGAAGTTCCCCTGAAATGTTCAGCAAGAAGCTACCTACAGTCAGGAAAAGAACTATCCCAAAGGGTTAGAAAAACAGTATTCAGCACTCCTGGAAACTGTGCCTGTCTCACTAGCCAGACTAGGGAAATTCACAATGCACAAAGCACTGGGTAGAGTATTAAGGGTCTTGCTTCATTACAGGGAAACGAGCCCTCGGCCCACCTAACAAATGTTAAAGCAAGAGTCAAAAGGATCAAAGGGTTTCCAATGAACTTAACCATGTCCCAGAACAAATCTCAAGATATTTATAGAAATGCAAAAATATCCAGCACGCGACAAATTCATATTCATAATATCTAGTATCCGATCAAAGTTACTAGACCTAGAGAGACATAGAAAAATAGATGCATAATTAGGAGAAAAATCTATCAATCAAAATGAACCCAAAACTGACACAGACGTAAGAAACAGCAGACAAGGACACAAAAAGTTATTATTACAAGTGTATTATTTTATATGTTGCAAAGTTAGAAACAACTAAGATATAAAATAGATCGAATTCAATTTCTACAGATGAAAATGACAATGTCTGGGATAAAAAAAATACATTGGAAAGGTTTAATGGAACATTAGACTGCAAAAGAAAAAACTAGTGAACTTGAAGCATTAGAAACTACAAAATTAAACACACAGAAGGAAAAGTATTTTTGAAAATGAAAAGAGCATCAGCGAGCTGTGGGACAACCTTAAATAGCGTAATATTCATGTCATTGGAATCCCTGAAGAGAGGAATGGAATACAGAAGAAACAAAGGCCAAAATTTTCCAAATTTGTTGAAAACTAATAAACTTACAGAGATCCAAGAAGTTCAAGGAATTCCAAGTACAAAAAAATCTACATGAAGGCACATCGTAATCAAATTGCTCAAAACCCGTGATAGAGCATTTTTAAAGCAGGCATAGGGGAAAATAGACCAATTTATGCACACAGAAACAAAGGGAAGTGTGACAGCAGATTTCTCATCAGAAACAACGCAAGCAAGAAAACAGCAGCAACATCTGTTTTTAAATACTTCAAATTATCAACCTAGAATTTTATATCAAGTGAAAATATCTTACAAAAGCAAAAGTGAAATGGACTTTTTCAGACATAAAAAAGCAAAAAAAAACTGTTCAAGAAAAGCCTCCGGGAACAAGAAAAATTATACCAGCCTGAAATATGGATCAACCCAAAGGAAGGAAGAGCAACACAAATTTAACTACGAAGATAAATATATTTTATTCTTGTTACTTAACACTCCTTAAGATAACTATTTAAACAAATACAATGACAATATATGAGTGGTTTATAAAAAGTTTTAAGTAAAATGTATCAAAACAGTAACAGGAGAGAAATATAAACAAACAATTGTGAAGTTCTGATACCATACAGGAGTGGCATAATATCACTTGCAGATAGATACGTTAAAGATGTATACTATTCAAAGCTAAAGAAACCGCTAAAATAAATACATATATACCTATATATGTGTGTGTATATATACATACATACATACAGTATATATATAAGAAATGAAACAGGTTCATTAAAGTATTCAATCCAAAGGAAGTCAGATAAAGAGAAAAATGAAAACAAATAACAGGCAGGACAAATAGAAAACAAATAGTAAAATTACAGATTTAAACCTAACTATATCACATTATATATAAATGGTCTGAACACCTGAATTCAAAAGCAGAAATTCAGGCCAAAATGGATTGGCATGAAATACTCAAAGTGATGAAAACAAGAACTTACAACCAAAATTACTTTACCCAGCAAAGCTATCATTTAGAATCGAAGGACAGGTAAAGAGCTTTGCAGACAAGAAAAAGTTAAAGGAGTTCATCACCACCAAACCAGTATTACAAGAAATGTTAAAATGTTCAAGTGACTTCTTTAAGAAGGATAAAAAAAAATCAAAATATGAATAATAAAATGGCTGTGACATACCTATCAATAATTACTTTCAATGTAAATGGATTAAATGTTCCAATCAAAAGACACAGGGTGGCTGAATGGGTAAGAAAACAAGACCCTTACATATACTGCCTACAAGAGACTCACTTCAGATCAAAAGACACGCACAGACTGAAAGTAAAAGGGCAGAAATAGGATATTTCATGCAGGGCCGGCCGAGTGGCTCAGTTGGTTAAGAGCTCGCTCAAGAGTTTGAGCTCTGAGCAACAGCGGTTCGAGTCCCAGCCCTAGCTGAGCAGCCACTGAGCTGCCAACAGGTAGCAGGATGGCTCAGCTAAAAAAAATAAAATAAAATAAAAAAATAAATAAATATATATATATATATATATATATATATTTCATGCAAATGAAAACAAGAAAAACTTGGGGTAGCGATACTTAGACAAAACAGACTTTAAAACAAAGGCTATAACAGGAGACAAAGATGGACCCAGCAATTCTACTTCTGGGTATTTATCAGAAGATACCCAAACACTAATTCAAAAAGACATATGAATCCCTATGTTCACTGCCCCGTTATTTACAACAGCCAAGATATGAAAGCAACCTAAGTGCCTCCTGACAGGTAAATGGATCAAGAAGAGGTGGTATATATATATATATATATATATATATATATATATATATATATATATATATATATATATATAATATTATATATTACTCAATATATATTACAATAGAATATTACTCAGCCATAAAAAAAGTGAAATTGTACTATTTGTGACCACATGGATAGACCTAGAGGGCATTATGTTGAGTGATATAAGTCAGACAGGAAAAGGCAAATACCATATGATTTCACATATATTTGGAATTTAAAAAACAAAATAAACAAACAAACTTATAGACACAGAACAAACTGAGGGTTGCCAGATGGGAGGGTGGTTGGGGGGATAAGTGAAAAGGCAAAGAGATTATGATGTGCAAATTACCAGTTATAAAAACAGTCACAAGGATGTAAAGTACAGCATAGGGAATCAAGTCAATAATATTGTAATAACTATGTGTAGTAGCAGATGGGTACTAGACTTATCGGGTTGATCATTTTGTAAGTTATATAAATGTCTAATCACTATGTTGTATACCTGAAACTAATATAATATTGAATGTCAACTGGAATTGAAAAAAATTTCTTTTTAAAAAAGCAGAAATTGTCAGATGGATAAAAAAGCAAAATTGAACTACAAGAAATAAACTATAAAGACATAAATATGTTAAACATAAAAGAATAAGAAAAGATGTTATCATTTTAACACTAGTCAAAAAGAAAGCAGAAGTGGCTTCTTTAATATCAGACAAATTCGATTACAGAGTAAAAATATCACCAGGGACAAAGAAAATCATTTCATATGAAAAAGTGGTCAACCCGTAAGAGTACAGAAGTCTAAACGTGTATGCACCTAATAACAGAGCTTCAAACTACTGACAAAATTGCAGGGAAAACAGACAGATCTGCAACTATAGTAGCCGATTTCAAGACCCTACTCTAAAGACTTCATACATTAAGTAAACAGAAAATCAGCAAGGATATGGAAGACTTGAATAACACTGTCAACTACCATGACCTAATGGACAGTCATAGAATACTCCATCCAACAACAGTAGAATACACTTTTCAAGTGTATATAAAACATTTACCAAGATAAACCATATTCTGAGCCATGAAACAAGTCTCAATAAATTTAACGAAATTCAAGTCATAAAAACTATGTTCTCTGACCATGTGAAATTAAATTAGAAATCATTAACAAAGATCTCTGGAAAATCCTCAACTATTTGGAATAGCATACCTGTAAACAACCCACAGGTCAAGAACAAAATCAAAAGAGAAATTGAAAAGTATTTTGAACTGACTAGAAGTATAAACACAACATATCAGAATTTGTGGAATGCTGCTAAAGCATTACTTAAGGGGAAATTTATAGCACTAAATGCTTCTATTAGAAAAGAAGAAAGATCTCAAATCAATGATCTCAGCTTACAACTAAGAAAACAGGGAGAGTGAATTAAACCCAAAGAAATCAGAATACAAAAAAAATAAAAATCAGAGTGGAAATAACTTAAATAAAAATAATTTTAAAAATTAAAAAATTCAATGAAACCAAAAGCTGGTTAAGACAATGAAATTGATAAACGTCTACCCTCAGTGATCAGGAAAATAAAAAAGATGCAAATTATCAATAAAGAAATGAGAGAAGTAAAATCACTACACATTCTAAGCACCTTAAAAAAGATATCCGGAGTAAATAAGCACATGAGCAACT